GAGATCGATATACATTTAATCTTTTAAAATTATTGCCTAGTGTCTACGTAAGTTTGTCACAGTATTTAGCTTAAAAGGGAGTATACCCTAAAGGAAAAATGATTTAAATTTAGTGTTAGGTTTTGGTGGATAAGAAGTGGGTTCTACCATAAAAATAAGATGAGCAGAGAGAGTTTCTGAGTCTTCCTTCAGGGTCATTTAGGTGACTATCAGAATTCTCAGTGTAGACTTTTATAAGTATAGTGTAATTGTGTGTGTGTGTGTGTGTGCGCGCGCGCGCGCGTGCATGCACACATTTTCCATTCCTAGTATAACCTCAAGGCTTATTTTTTCAAATTAAAAAACCCACGTGGCCGGGGATTTAGCTCAGTGGCTCTGCCGCCTGCCTTGCAAGCGCAAGCACCTGAGTTCGATCCCCAGTACCCCCTCCAAAAAAAAAAACAAAACAAAAAACCAGCTAACATCTTACTTCTTCAGAAACATCCAGAATGAAGGAAACTAAGTTGTCTCCATTATAGTAGTCCCCAGATCTCTGAATCATGGGTCAGGAGACTATAATATTTAGCCATCCTTACCCCATGACCTCAATTGTTCTCCTTTTCTAGAGTCATTAAAAAGGCTGTTAAAATTCTCAATGTTGATTTTATTAGAGGATGATTGTGTTGCCTCACAAGGTATTTTTATAAATGTTTTGAAAAGTTCAAAGCTTTTTCCTTTTCCTGGCTCCCTTGACTAGTGGGAAATGGGGCTGGATGACCCCCTGGTGAGTAGTCCAAGGATCCCAGAGATCTTGTCATTTTTGCTGGCAGAGCAAGAGGTGGAAGATGTTCTGCCATGAGATGGGCATTGGTATTGGGGAACAAGGAAATGTTCCTTCATCATTAGGAGCCCACAGTAACAGGAAATGTTCACTCTCTTGTTCTCATTTACCCATCAATTCATTCATTCTTACAGACATTTTCAGGAGACTTCCTCTGTGTTGCATGGCAGGATAAAAGACTGGTTTGTGCTCCCTGATGCTTTTATTCCAGGTTAACTAGTTTTGTTTCTAGTTTGTCTTTGTTCCTCTTTACAGTGGCTCTGTGTTCTCCCTACCTGTGTCCCAAGGCTCAGTGTTCAATAAATGCTTTTTTTCCAAATTGAGGGATGTTTACAACAAGGCTGTTAACCTAATTTAGCTGCAAAAACTTGTCTGAGCATTTTTCTTTTGCCAACATCACCTGTCTTCTTTTTTCCTTCTTTTCTTTAGTAGCACTCAATTTCATATATGACTGTCACTCCTTTGCTTGTCTCACCTTTTCTCTAGAATTCATATTCTTCCTTGGCTAACTAAATAAAAATGCTAGGAGGATTTCTCCCTCCAATAAAAAAATCTCTTTTATCTCCACATGGCACTTTCTTTTTTTCTGATAGCTCTTTCATTTTAGTACTTTTTTCTTTTACATTTTATTTGGCATTGATTTTTCTTCTTGTGCTCAGTGAAGTCAGTTCTTTTACACATTCTATCATTCCTTTTCAAGTTGCCCCATATCTGCTCTTAGTTTCTCTTTTCTTCTTCTCAATACTTTTTTCTTTCTGTTCTTTTCCTTACTTCCTTTCTTATTCTCTTTCAGATTTTCTAAAAGACAATCATATTTTTTTTAGTGATTTTTCTTCCTTTCCTTTTTTTTTTTTTTTTTTA